TTGGTCACTATGACGAAACTGAAATAAAATAAGATGAACTCAAAAAAAAAAAAGAATTTAAATAAAAATTTTTATTTATTTTTTTTTTTTTTTTTTTTTTTTTTTTATTTTTATTTTCTTTTTTTTTTTTTTATTGAGTTGTTTGAGTTATTTCCCTCATCATGCCTGCCTTTCATGTAGGATGCAAGTAAATTATGATCATGAGTGAAGCTCCAGTAGTGTGGAAGGCTATTCCACAGGCCCAGTCTACCGCTAGTGGTCACACTCAGATGACATCACGGACGCTACACATCACTGAGCCAACTGCCTCCAAACATGTGCGCTTTTATAAAAGCGGTGATTTCCAGTTCAGCGGTCTGCCTGTGGTTATCAACAGCCGCACCTTTAAAACTTTTCAGGCTCTCCTGGATAGCCTATCCAAGCGTGTGCCATTGCCATTTGGTGTGCGAACCATTACAACTCCTCGTGGTCATACGGCGGTTCAGTCCCTTGATCAGTTACATCATGGTCATTCCTACATTTGCTCTGATCGTCGAACTGTCAAACCCATTGACTTGGAACGAGCATGCCGGAAACTGCCTCCCTGGTATCATGCTCATCCTGTTAGTGCCCGGTGCTTGGCTTGGTATACACATAGCTCTGCTCAACATGGAACCTGCAGCGCAAGACGGAACGAGCATGCCATCTTCTTGAACACACCAAAGCGGCTAGTACTGTTCTGTAATGGAGAGCCAGAAGTGAAGCATACCCTGATGCTGCAGAGAAGAAAAACATACTCATTTGAAGCACTGTTAGATCACATGTCAGAGGTTATGCACTTCCCGGTGCTCAAGTTACATACACCTGATGGAAGAAGGGTAAGGACATTATTTTTTAGTTACAATATTTTGATTTTAAGCCTCTTAATTACATTAGGATTTCATTTTAATTTAGTCCATTTTGTCATTACATGTGATGACCCCCCTCCTTCTCCCCTTTTTGTACTTTAATCAAGTCAGCTTTATTTATATAGCGCATTGATTGTGTCAAAGCAGCTTTACAGTGTTAAACAGGAAAATAATGTTTCAATGATGCAAACATAATTCAAATCTGTTAACAGCTCTAAAATAGGGACAATATTAAACAGTAATTTTTTTCAGTTAAAGTCAGTTAATTGTTAAATGTGTAAAGTTCATCAATAATGGAAGGAGCTCAATTCATTCAATTGCATACATTTTTTGCTTTACCATAATTTACAGGTTTATATACAACAGGATGAAACACCAATCTACAAAGACACATGTTCACTTGTTTTGACATGCCAGCTTCACATCGAGCAAGAAGCAAAAGAAACCGACACATTACCATATTTTCAGAGTGTTTTATTAGAGATTAGAATTGTGACTGTGTCAGTTGTGTCTCTGGTGTAAGCAAGCTGACCCAGTGTTTGAGTGAGCATAAATAGCATTTACAGATTGAGGAAGACATGCTGCCCAGTGGCACTAAGCCTCTTTACTATTTCATCCTATTATACTGCACTGCAATCTGGGATAGAACTTAGAGAGGGGAATCAGTCATTTAGACCACCAAACAAGCTTTATTAGTAATGTTAACATTAACTGTTCCGTAAAGCATAATTAGGGGCCAAGCACCAAAGGTGCAAAGGCACCTATTGTATCGGTTAGTTGTATTATTTTTTTATTATTACAGGTTCAAGCATGAAGCGATAAAACAGAATTGTAATTGTAAGGATTTTTTACAAGGGGCCAAGTACTGAAGGTACGTAGGCACCTGTTGTAATCATTAGTGTTCTCGCTATTATAGTTCTTCTTCCCCTCTTGAAGTCTATGGCAGCCCATAGAATCACTTGACGAAAAGTTATGAAATGTCCCATAGTAATAGAGGACAGGCTAAAATGTTACCGTAGCAATTTTGGAATTTCTAACGAAATCCCTTTTAGTGCCTGCACCAGCTAAAAGTTTTACTTATATTTATGCTAATAACTTTTTTCCTCTGATTCCTTTGCTCAAGACGATTCTGTTTATCTCCATTTTCTATCATGAACATTTTTCCACAATTTAAATTTTTTTAAAACCTAGGCCATTTGTCCAGTTTTCACCAAATTTGAGTCAGGCCATCTTCAGACTATAACAAAAAGTTATGGAATTCAAGTTGATTATTCAAACTGTTCTCAAACAAAATGCAAACGAATTTGGTGACGAGCATGCCAAAGTGGATGTTATGTTATTATCTCCACATAGCCTCTGTATTTGCCTGTATATATCTGTATATCTGTATTTTACGAACACATTGGCTTATCATTACAACACTCAGAATGTGTATTTTAAGCACTATTCGGACGGGACTAGTTTTCCAGTGGGTCATTATAGAAATTTGTGTTTCACAGATGTACTTTGCGATTTTAAACCTGTCCGAATCTGCCAAGTCTGTGTTTTTCTCAACACAACCTCTGTAATAATTCCAGAGCAAACTACCTACTGAGAAGTTTAATTCCATTTCTAAAGCAAATGTCTGTGATTGACGACAATTTATTTTTTTATGCGTTTCCTTTTGTGTTTTGGCCAATGTGAACTACCATGGTCCACAGATGCTCTTACTACTGTGAAATAGAAATAAAAAAATAAAATCAAGAGCCAGATCGTGTAAATTGTTAAGACTGACTACTGTAGTTTCAGTGTCAGGTAAACTTACTCACAATTTATGCACTCAATTACATAATATTTTAATTACATGTGTAATTACGAAAGTTAAATGTTGACTGTCTCAAACAGTGTCTGTGGAAAGTATTCATACTACTCTCAGTTCATTTCTTATGGCAAATTGGTCAGCATTAAAGGGGTCATATGATGCGATTTAAATTTCTCCTTTCTCTTTGGAGTGTTACAAGCTCTTGGTGCATAAAGAAGATCTGTAAAGTTGCAAAGACTAAAGACTCAAATCCAAAGAGATATTCTTTATAAAAGTTAAGAGTCAGCCACGCCTACCTAAAACGGCTCATTTTAACACGCCCCAACATCCCTACGTCGCTCTGTGGGAAGATTTGCATAACGCCGCCCAAATGTTCACGCAAAGAAAGAAGGCGTAACTTTTATTCTCGCTGTAGTTTTGTTGTTTCCACCGCCATGTCGTAAAGAGGCTGTGTGCTTCATTGTGAAAGCGAAACTACATTGTTTGATCTTTCAAAAGAGGACGATATCTGCTTCGTCATGCCTAGAGCTGATCCGTGCTGGTTGCTGAGGAAATACTACAACTTTGCGCTGACGATCGCCGGATTGGCTTTCACCGTGGACGAAGTGGAGTCCAGCCCGGGGTC